GAGGGTGACTAATTAAAGAATACTTGTTCTAAAAAAAAAAAAAATATTGTGAATTCTAGTTCTTGTTCTACTGCCTAGTTGAGATAAAAATATATGGACAGTCATAAGGGCAGAGCCTGGAAAAAGAGTCTTAGGAAGGGTGGCATCTGTTCCAGGAAGTACGTGCTCATGAGTTTGGTAAAGCAGAGCATGAGTAAGCAAGCTAAAGTAGGCAAGACATCTTTAACAGATGAGAATTTTTTGGGTGTTTTAAGGACGATATTTAATGAACAGTGTGATAAAACCAGAAAGTCAGGGCTATTCTGTTTTGAACAGAAAAAAAAAAAAAAGCTGGTAAACTGACTCAAGCTCTAATCCAGCAAAGATTTTCTGATGCAATTTGCACCACTGGCAATCCATTACATCATAATATAATGTGCACGAACTGCTTTTCCACCTTCCCACTAGCAAAACCAGAAATTTCTGAGCAAGCTTTGGGTTCAAACACTGGGTTGCTGCAAAAAAGGAGTTCACTGATGCATGTTATATGAACCAGATTATGGACTGGGCTGAGCTAATTAAATGATGAGTTATGAATGGAAGCCCATCTATAATAACAATATTTCAGACTAAGGGGATTAAATTTGGTGAGACCAGAGCTTGTGCTGGAGAAATATTAAGCCTTTTCAAGGACTACAAAGAAGAATGTAACATCATGACAAGGAAAATATGCAACCTTGAATCATTTATCAAAGAAATCAACACGTGTAAGCAAGCATGAAAATGTACCCACTCTAAGACAGATTCAATCTGCTCTACTGTATCATCTACTATTTACTTAAATAATAGACTCTAGGACTGTTTTCTACTTGGGAATCATCAACAACCTTCAGGTACAGTAAGCAGAATACACATCAACAGGAATGGAAAATTCTTGTTCATCAAGAGGAGCCTTTTCCTGCACACATTTCCCATACTTCAGGTTCTCTTGCACAAGCCCACCACTACACCGAGTGAAACACCTGCTTCCATAGTAGGGGCTGAAAGAGAAGCAGTTTTAACAGTGGCTGAAGGAGTTGTATATGGAAACGCAATTATATTTAACATAACATATAGTATAGTATGTATCTACTGTTATATACTAAAGCTTGGTACGACTTGTGTGGTAGACTAAAGCGGATGTACTGTTGAATCACCAATTAATTTAAGATGATATGGTTATTTTCTGTTCGCAGGAACTAAATATATTAGATATCTGAACAGGAATAGCTCAAGTTTCGCTAATTTTGCACAGTTTAGTAGGCCTGGTGTTATTCTTCAGGTACTGAAGCCTTCCCCCCTAGCCTGAGAAATTCCAGATCATTAGTAAAGATAATATGCACTAATCACAGGTGTGAGAGTACAGTGCAGAGAGAGTCAAACCATTTCACCTATTTGAATGTGGTCAGAAGACACAGCAGCAAGGGGAGCGGCTACTCAGAGTGAGATAGCAGATGGTCACCAAAACAACCCAAGTAATTCTCAGGGGAGACCAAATTTTCTGCTGAGCTGTAAACATCAGTTGTGTGGGTATTTCCACACACCCACACTTTGATCCTGACCACATACACACTTATTGTAAGCCAAACTTTCTGATGGGACCACTCATGACTTCTGGTCCGCAAATATCCGTGTGTTTGCAGGATGGGCCTTTGTAGCTGAACTGGACTTGCCAAGTCACTGTGTTGATCTTGCTTATAGCTGACATTCTTTTAACTTTGCTGCAAGAAAAAAGTTCATCTCTGCCCTGGTGCCTCTGATCTGGTAATCAGGTGGCTTTCAGACAGGCCACTCCAGTACGCAAATGTACCAATGAAAAAATAACACTACATTCACTATTCACATTGAATAGAAAACCCACACTGAAGACCAATGATCAGAAAAATCTGAAGACCTGGGATTTTTCTATCAGCTTTTTTATTCAAATGCTTGGGAATTAGACACCGCCATTCATGAATTAAAAAAGAGGGCCAACATAAAACATGTCTATCAACTTCAGCAATGAAAAGCGATTGCACTAGAAACATGTTAACAGAAAGCATTCTTTGGAAGATGTTTGGAGCACCTATAAAAACGTTCCATAATCAGACTCAGACAGCTTAGCAAAAAAGAAAACCACAAGTACCCCTACAGTACTTTTTAAAGTAGTTTCCTCTCTTTATTCAGGAACATCCTGGGAGTGGCTCCTGTGCATAATAGCATTTTCAACTACAGAGAGGAGTTGGCAGAACTGTGGTTACTCTAGATGTTTTCTTGTAGCGCACAAATATGCCCATTCAGAGAACTGCTCTAATAATTTCCTTGGAGTAAAGGAAAAGAATTTAATAGAAATCTTGAAAAAGGCTCTAAGTGATATGCATATGCACTGAACTTCTGCAGAGGGACAGCAATGCTGAGGCTGTTATCAAATCTCCTCTACTGTGTAATTAAAAAAAAAAAATCATCCAGGATGAAGATTTCTGTTAGGTATCAGACTTTCTAGATGTCAATATGTTCAATCTAGATGTGTCAATGGCAAATGCAAAGGCTGAGCACTTCCCATAACAAAGGGACACTCCACGTGCTATATCATGCCTATGCAGAACTGCTTTGATTTACAGAAGCATAATTTGGGGGTGTGAGTGTGATATTCAAAAAGTTGATGCACATGTGTTTTTGGGAGATCATTATACTAAGTTATAAAAGAGTGGTAGTAGAGTGGCTGTGTATTTCACTCAACTGTAAAATCAGTATGTGCCCCAAAAGTATCCTAAGATGGGTACTCCAGTAACAGAGGTTGCAGCTGGAATTTATCAGAAAGGCCATAAAGTGAGAAAAGCTTGAAGACTGCAGTATTCTAGTTTCTCAAAGCACACACTCTGTGTTTAACAGTAACTATTGCTAAAAGAAGTGGGCTGGTGATAAGGACAGAAACAATTGCAGCCTTGAGAATCTTGTAACGCTGACCAAGCTTTCTTTACTTTGTGGACAGAGGGTTTAAAGGGTTAGCTGTTACCCTCGAATTTCATTCAAAATAAGATATAATAACAATAGCTGGGCACTGTAAATACAGCAGGGTTGTTTAGCTTCAATTTTGCAGATCTCAGTGAGAATTTATTTTCCTTTATTGTAAATAACCTTAAAAACCAATAGCATAGAGGCACAAAACTGAGCTTTCCTCACTGTTTCATTGAGATAATTCAGTGTTGACAGTGCGTTTCAAGACATACCTTATACTACCTGAAGGTGAGCTCACTGGTGCAGTTATAGAATTTTTATCATAAAATCTTCAGTAGTTTCCTCTTATACTTTGCTCACTTCCCAGGGATGCCTGATAATAAAATCAGCTGCACAAGGTACATGTACAGCAGGTTAGCGATGCAGCTGACACAGGACCATATGGCTTTACATCAGTCTTTTGCACCAACCCTGGCACAGTGGTTGTTCTAGAGAAGAAGGAAAACAGGAACAGTCTGAGCTACTAGCTGTTTTTCTGGTGGATTTGGAGTTTAGCTTATGTTCTAAGCATGGTCCTTCACAACAGGCAGGTCCATGAGATGCCACTGTAGCCAGCATCCCTAGAGGACTACAGGCTCATGAGTGCAAAGCCAGGAGGCACCTCAGAGCCCCATAGCCTGCAGCACTCTTGCCTTTGCGTGCCATTTGTGTGGGAAGGCTGCAGGGTAACCACAGCCTGTAGTACTCCAGCTCAAGGTTCAAAGGCAGACTACCCTCTGATACAAGAACAGGCAGGAAGCCAGGCAGACTTCTGGTTTTGTGAACAATTGAAACTGATTGACATTTTCCTATAAAATTTCCAGTTAACCAGTAAAGCCATAAACTATGGTTTAAAGGAGAATTAGAAGTCTTTAGGGAGAAATAAAAAACGAAAGTTCTCTTTTTGCGTGAGAACTGAATGAGGATTATTCTGCTCATCTTTAAAGGACAGACAACACGATTCGCTAAACTAAAACTCCAGCGTTCACTCTTGATTCCATTCTGAAATGTAGGTCTTCTCTTCCTCAACAGGATCCCACTGGTCTCTCTCCTCTCAGCCTTCCCCAAAGCACCTGGCAACCCTCAGCCTAATCACATACCAAATGCCCCACTACCTGTTCATTTGTTCCAATTCTTTCTCAATCTTACTCAAAAAAACAAAAACCCACACCAAAATGAAAAACCATTCCAAAATAACTCATTTCTATATAAATAATTGATCAAAAGTTCCTTTGCGAATCCTATAATTCTTGTATTTTTAAACAAAACTACAGACCAGAGCTTTCAAAATTTATCAGATGGGGAAATCAATCATTCATGAAGCAAAAGCATAAAAAATGCAAACATCTAAAAATAAAGCAAATTAGAAACCTGGAGATATTTAGGAGACTCACTCTCTGTTTTTAGGGAGAATTTTTTAATCTTCACGAGCCAGTTATATATTATTATCAATGATCAATTTTATCTTAATCAGTGCATCTTCACTTTTCTCCTGTATTTCTCTGCTACTACCTTTATCTTTCAAAAAAAAATTCTTCTTTCAACCCCCAAAACTTGCCAGCCACAAACAGCTTTCTTCAGGTTGATCACGCTATTTCAGTGGAGTACATTTGTCAATTCCTTACGTGACTATTTTTAAGCCAAACGCTGAAATTGCTGTATTCTCAACTTGCATCATTACCTATTCACTAGCTCTACAGAGAAAGGAAAATAAATTTGCCATTAACAACCTCTTCACAACATCATCTGTGTAAATAAACATAATTTTCCCTCCCTGACTAGCATGAGGACAAAACAGGTACCTGTCTTGTCCCTGCAACAGCAAAAACAATACAATCGTTAATCACAGATCAGAAAAAATATAGACATTTGGAGCATGAATGACTGCTTATCAATGAGGTGACAAAAACACGCCTCTCTCTTAAGTGCTTTTACAAAAGGTCTCAGATGAAAATAGGAAAGCAATGGTAGCTTAGAAAAAAATAAAAACAGGGAAAATCACTTACTGTACTTGGTTCTGCAGAGGTATTCAACACAAACATCACCCTTCCTTGTCCAGCTGCCAAGTGCTAAAGCATGAAATGAGCAGCTGTTTCCTTCAAGCTGGGGCTGTGTGTCTTAACTAGTCACATGCCCCTCCTGATAAATCTCACTGCTGTGCCAGGAGGTCAGAATCTGAAGATCATTATTCCCCTTATTAGAAAATCCTTTTCATAATAGCAGCCTTTGCTAAAACGCTTGACTGGAACGTGGCGCTATGTGTTCCATAACTTCTTCCCCCCCCCCCCCCCCCCCCCCAGATGACTACCGGCCAACAGTAAATAAGCCTTAATCAACAGTAGGGGCAGTACAAATGGAAAGTTAAACAGATCTCTGTTGATTGCTTCAATTTTGCACCTGACTTCATGATTTGCTGCATTTAAATTCAGTCTTCCTGTCAGGAACAGAACATTTTAAAGCGCAGTGGTGCTCATAGCATCTTTAAGACTTGGTCACTCCACTGATCACAAAAATAAGGGAACAACCATGCTTTCGGGGATTAGGCTTACTTAAAGGGCAACATTGCTACTTCTTATGTTTACATAGTAGAATGATGAGTGCCTTAATAATACTGCAGATAATTTTTATTTTGGTGCCTAGTATTTTTGCAGCACAGAGACAGAGCTCCATTGTGCCAGACATCGCCTGGTCACACAGGGATACCTCTTCTGGGTTGAGGGCTATCAGTCCAAACTGAGTCAACAAAATGGAAAACAAAAGCATCCTTATCCCCACGTTCCTAGATGTAGGACAAATGAAGGTACAACACTGAAGTAAAAAAAAATGACATATTGTAATGGAATTTTCCAGGGAGATACGTGGCCGTACATCTTTGAAATATAAGTGAGATTTTGTAGCCTAATTCCCTACAGCTTGGCTACATATTTAAATATATTCAGGTGTTTGAAGGTAAAAGCAGTCAATGGAATTTTGAGGGTGAGATGCAGTACTCAATTTTCTGGAAAGTTTAATTTCCAACACACATATAGGAATACCAGGCTGAAACTCTAGTGGTAGTTTTTTATATCAAAAAACCTGACAGCACACTGTTGCTGTACCTCAGCACGGGGTGCAGTAATGATGGATAGTATTTTATGGTTTTGCAAGTAAACCAGACCTTGCAAGATCACACAGTCCCACTGAATTATAAAGGCATTTTCCTGAAATAAAGCTCTGCTAATGGTACTGTATTGGAGAGCTGAACAAATCCAGGGAATTGCTCAGAGCCAAAAAGCTACCCATTTATTTCAATTATTCAATTTTAATTGCATATCTAACTGGCACATTTGTCAGAAGTCAACAAATGCCCTCAAGTTACTGAAGATGAAAGCTTCAGGGAAAAAAAAAAAGAAATAAATAAAAAGAAAAGAAAGGGGGCAATTCAGGTTTCTTGCCTTGACCCTACCCAGCTCTTCACATTATATAAGCTTGCACATGGTTATGAAACCACACAACCTACCGTGCTGCCAGCACAGCCTGAAGCAGGGAAGAAGCCCTTATGATATTATCCATGCATTTGTAGCTCTCTTGTGGGTGAAACCACTGGGTTTCCTTGAAAAGATTTAATGAAAAGCCTCCTAAACCTCCTGTTTCTCATCGCCCAGCAGCATGAAGGGGCAGCAGCCTGTCACAGGACCTGTCTGTAGGTTCAGCGCTGCAGGAGCCCCACAGCCTCAGTTAGAGGTCTCCTCATATCCCTACAACCCTGAAACCCCAGCCTGTCCCGGCAACGTGGCAGGATGCCTGCTTTATCCTCGCTCGTCTCTGCACCTGCACCCTGCTAACACGTGCCCACAACAGATAAACGAGAACGAAGAGTTAGCTCAGCGTTTCTTCAGTTTATAGCTAGGGAGACTCCTGGGCTTTCTCCCCAAATCTGGTGCAGAAGCCTTCCTCTCTCGCTGGCGCCAGGGCAGAGGCTCTGGGATGCTCCCAGCCAGCCATTGGGCCTCTTGCAAACACAGAGATGTTTCTAGAAGGCTTCGCCCTTTCAGCATAACCAAAATGGCATGCTCGGAGACCCCCTGTACCTCTACGGTTCCCAGTAGCAGCAAGGAGCAAGGTGTTGCATGCTGGCCCCACAGCAGCCCCCAGCGGCCTGAGCTCCCCAGTGCAGTACAACCCGACCCACCGCAGCCACCTGCGGCCCGCACATCGGCGGCCATTTTCCTGCCGCCACCTGTGCTCCTCAATGCAATGCACCTGGACCGCCGGGTCGGCCATCTTGTGCGGTGCTGTGCGGGGCTGGCAGGGATCGCCTGCTCGTCCGGCGGCTGAGGGTCGTGCACGGAATGCAAAATGATGCCAGGTTTCAGCTTTGCCTTTGTAAGCAGGGTAAGTAAACATAGCATGAGGAGGGATGCTTCTGGAAAGGCAGTTTAGTGGCTCAGTAAGTGGTTTATCCTACTGCGCGATAGGGCTTGGCAACATGGCAGCGACTTGCTCCTCTTGGAAGCTGCTCCTCTTGGAAGCTGCGTTCCTCTGCCTGAAGGCGTTGATCAGGCCTCGAAGGAGTGTCCCCGTGCATGGGCTCTGTGTGAGGTTGTTAAGCTGCTGAGGATGTCTTAAAAGAATGAAGGAAGTTGCAAAAAGGAAGGGTTTAAAAATGAGAGACAAGCCCATGAGGGATGAGTGCCTTTAAGTTTAGGACGCTGGGATGAGGATAATTTCAAAGAGGGACTTAGAGCTCTCCCTGCAGAACTGGGTTGCAGGCTGCTGCACGCCTTACACTTGCTATGCTCAGGGCGTAGCCCATTGACCACATGAGTTACCTTTGGTAAATGCCATTTCATTCCTCCTAAACGCTGTTGTCATTTGAGATCGAGAATAATGGAATTTTATACACGGTTTTATAAAAGAAAAGATCATAAATTTCATTAGGAAATTAATTATAAAATTACTCTCTGCTGATACTTAAGAAAGCGTGATTGAAATGTGTTCTGTAATGATCTGTCAGTCTGCACATAGTGTTGTGATTGTTTTGTTCATTTCATGGATTATGCAATATCCACAGCACTCTTGTAGATCTATCAGGAACCTTTGATGTTTTCCGTTGATTAAATGCTGGTGATACCCTCATTATTTAAAATAGGACACAGAGCAGTCAGTCATCGCTGGCCTGAAAAGCTGCTATTTTTATTTGGTCGTCAATGTTCCACATAGGGCCATAATTTGATAATAGTGCCTAAATGGCACCTTGGGATATGCTCCCTAAAAAGCAAAGGAGTCTGAGTACTTTTTGAAATTGCTTTATGTGGATCAGTAAAAGTGATGTCAACTGAGTGTGGTTTACGCGAGGAAAAATTTTATCAGGTTCTCACACAGAATGATTAGATTTAAGTCATCGTGGAAAGAAACCAAACAGATAATTTGGGCACAATTCCTGAAAATAAAACTCAAATATTTTGTGAGGTTTTTTTTTTTTGTTTGTTTGTTTGTTTCTTTTTTCCTTTTATGAAAAATACATTCAAAGTGATAAGGTAGGGAACACATGAACACAGGGAATCTACAGAAATGGTGTTGTATTTCTGCTTCTATTAGAGTACATCTTCTCTTTGACCAAAAAAAAAATACACAACAGTGTATTTAGTTTCTTCTTATGTTGAGAAAACAGCTCAAGGCTCGATAGAAAAGGATATATTTTTGTTTGTGGAAACTGATGTTTTACATAAAAACTAAGAAATGAACATTTCTCAGACATGCCATGAGAAATACTGAACAGTAACAAAGAAGCATAGTGTGAAATTGTGATAGTATGTTTCACGGCTGGCTTTCAACTGCTGTTACTGTTATCTGTTTGGACGTGCTTACCTACATATTGCTTACGTGTCATTTCATTTCCAAATTTGGCAGTAATACAACGTTTATCTCAGCATCAGTGCTTTGAGATTGTGCTAAATTTCGGAAAATACAATTATTTTCTGAATATGGCAGTTACAAAGTTGCCTGAAAATGCCTTTTTACGTTGGTGTGTTCTGCAGTTTGTTTAACGGGAATTAAAACTCTCAATGGACATAAAAGCATCCTCTGAGAATGTGGGTCAGGTTATGCTAACTGCAAGTCTGCAGTATTGCATTTGTTTCTTAAATGGTTGCACTATGATTTGGCTGCTATCTTTCAGAATATTTGGAATGTATATCTAATAAACAGTGCCTCATTTTCTGGTCTGCCTCATTGCCCCAAGTACTATATAGCCTTCACTATTAGCAGATATGAATGAAAGCAGACCATGGAAGCCTTTACTAGACAGGATGTTTTATAAATACCGAAGTGCAATTAAAAAGCCTGCTATAAATAGCCTAACGTCTCTCATGCTAAGCTGCCAGCTAAAGGGCATCTGAAGAACATCATGGAAAGAAAATTTTGCTGAAAAGATTTTGTGTCTCTCAGTGTTCCTCTGCATTCAGTCAGTTTTAAGCATCTATAGGCAATGTTACATGCCTGGCAATCTCTGAATTCTGAGTTCTTCAACATTATGCTCAGTGCTGTAGGGGGCACAGCAGTACTGTAAATGTGATCTGTACCTCCCCTTTCACACACAAAGATACACCCAGTATTTGTGTTGTGGCTGAGAAATTGAAGATAAGATTAGGTCATTCTTAAGTTCAACTCTTGAAAAAAGTCCCTTTTATATATCAGCAATTATAAGTCAAGTGGAGCCTATGGCAGTACCTAGAGTTAAGGTTGTGGTTGCTTTCCTTCAGAAAATGAATGCTTTTGTTTACTTTTTAGCTTATGATAATGTAGGAATGTAAACTGAAATTCTGTGTGTTGCACTTGCCTGAATATTCTTATGTGTGTTAATCATATGCACATGTCCAGCTTAGAATTTGTAGTTCGTGTACTTACTATCTGTGTATTCAGAGCTGCAAGTTAATAGTAATTGTGTCTTAGCTCATGCAGTATTTTCTCTGAAGAAGTAATCTCTAATATCTCTTATCTTCCTATACAAATTTGGCATGAAACATAGGGGATAGTTTTCATTTCTCTGTACTTTTAGTCCTCAGAAAGGGGATGAGCATAAATAAATGTGTGAGTAATTTCTTATCCATGCAGCATTTAAGAACAACAACAACAAAAAACAAAACAAAACAAATGAACAACCCCCCCATACTCAAATAAAAAAGCAAACCCACATGGAATTGCATCTTAAAAAACTCTTAATGTTCAATCAAGATGTTTGGGTAGACCAAGATGAGGAGTTCCTATAGAAAAACACCAACTGAGCAACAGTATGCATATG